GTTGCCGGTCCCGGTCCGGTACGGGCGCGACACTGAGGGTTGCGATCCGTTGCCGGTCACGAAAAAAGAGAAAAAAAAGGAGAAAAAAAAAAAAAAAAGAAATAATGCCTTTGTCTAATATAGGTCAAATGCCCAGCAGCCTCCCACAAAACTTGATATTCAAGTGTCCCAACCAGAAGATATGGCCATATGTGGACAAGGTGTGTGACACAAGAAATGACTGTGGTGACAGCTCAGATGTTTATTGAGTATATGTTATATATTCCAGATAGTCTTAAAACAATTTTTTTTTTTTTTAAAGATGACCGGTAAGGGGATCTCAACCCTTGGCTTGGTGTTGTCAGCACCACGCTCAGCCAGTGAGCAAGCCGGCCATCCCTATATGGGATCCGAACCTGTGGCCTTGGTGTTATCAGCACCGCACTCTACCGAGTGAGCCACGGGCCGGCCCTGCAATTGATTTTTTAATGGGTTCTTGGAGTGGCTACCCTTACACTTCAATTACATAAGTTAACTCATACTTAGAAACCTTCCTTAAGGATATTTATATCCACTATTATGCAATTCTATCATCTCCAGTAGTTTGTGCATATTTACAGTAGATGTGTTCTCTAGCTAGAAGTAAATAACGCCAGTGTTGCAAGGATTAACAAAGGAAATAATCTTGATGGACAGCTCTTGTCTGCTATCAAATTCCTTTTGGATTTCTTTGGAAATTTTGGTAAGGATCAAAGAAAAGTTTCAAGAATGCTTTGGCTGTCAAAAATTTGTTTAACCTTTGGCATTTCTTTGTCCCTCTCCCCACTTTCTTCCTTGCCTCCAACCATGTTCCTTATGGTAGTTTAACACTGAGCAGCACCCCTGACCATTTTACAATCTGGCAAGGCTGGCTTATTCTAAAACCACTGCAGTATGTACAATTCCAATACCGCATGGCCCCAATCAGTATATAAAAAACTTATCAGAAATACACTAATTTCCTACCCTTTGTCTAGTCATTGTGAAGGACAAAAATAGAAATGCTTCCTAGGAGTTACAGATAACAACGCTTCAACAAAAGCCTAAAAGTATAAAGAGATCCTTTTCTTCTTGCTAGGTGCCAATTAGCAAATACTGATTCTTTTCCCTGCTTATTGAAATACAATCTCATACAGACCCTTTGTTGTTTATGTAACATGTCAGTATGTTTATTTTTAGGATGATGGGGAGAAGTAAATACTCTTCTTGGCTTTTCAAAGGGCAAATTCTTTCATCCAAACATGGAGAATCTCTAATAAACATCAGCAATTTTCCCACTGGACAGTTTTCACCAATATTTTAATAATACAGATGGCTAATTCTTTTCCAACACCATCTTTTCCTGTCCACGTTGACATTTTAACAGTTACAGTTTTAAAAAATAAATAAAATTGTCTAGTTTTACAGTGCCCAAAGTTTTCAGGCTGGAGATGTGATACTGTTTTCTTTGCTGACTGTGCCTGCATTCCCAGAACTCAATGCAAAAATGGTATTCAAGATTGTGCTCATTGGACTGATGAAAACTTATGTGAATAAAAGACTTTTCTAATCATTTTTTTGGAAAATCTAAAATCTGTTGGTTGCCTTAAGACTTCTCAAAAAAATTGACATATATATCTACATTTATTTATTTATTTATTTTCTTTTTGTCTTTTTTCGTGACCGGCAACGGATCGCAACCCTCAGTGTCGCGCCCGTACCGGACCGGGACCGGCAACGGGATCGCAACCCTCGGTGCTGCACGCACACCTCGCTCAGCCAGTGAGCGGGAACCGGTCTGTACATGGGATCCGAACCCTCGGCGGGAGCGCCGCTGCGCTTCCCAAGCGGCGCACTGTAGCAGTGCACCACCGGGCCGGCCCCCTACATTTATATCTTAATGGGGGGTGGGGGAGGAAAGAGCTACTAAAGCGTGAATTCAGTGTTAATTGAGAAAAATGATTAGTAGAAATCATACCCAAACCTTAGTGACCTTTAGCCCATTTCTAAACCTGTTTCTAAATTTTAGAATGTAGTTTTCTGTCCTAACAATGACATAATTCACCATAGAATTATTATGGAGACACAAGTGTTCTCTGACTCAATTATTCCAAGTAAAGGGCATTAATCCTAAGAGCACTCAGATCAAAATGGATGTTTATCTCTTCATTAGTGTAGCCCTGGTTCAGATCCAGCTGAAAACTAGTTTGGTCCAGAGCTATTCTTTTTTTTTTTTTTTTTTCGTGTCCGGCAATGGATCGCAACCCTCAGTGTCGCGCCCGTACCGGACCGGGACCAGCAACGGGATCGCAACCCTCGGTGTTGCCCCTGCTCCTCGCTCAGCCAGTGAGCGGCCAGTCTGTATGTGGGATCCGAACCCTCGGCAGGAGTGCCACCGCGCTTCCCAAGCGGCGCACTGTAGCAGTGCGCCACCGGGCCGGCCCAAAGCTATTCTTAAAAGTAGCGAACAGTACCTCCCCCCACCGCCACCCCCCCAAAATCAACCAGATTAATCTGCTCTTCTAGTCTGCCAGGGCATAATATTCTTTCCAGTAGGTAGAACTCAAAAGAGCAGACCTGGGTTTGAATCTCATCATACCGCTTAATGGGCTGAGTGAGCTGAGACTATTGAAGATGGTTTCCTTATCTGTACAATGTGGCTGTTTTTTGAGATTGTTATGAAAATCAAAGAAGACATAAAACAAGTGGTAGAGTGCTTTTAACATGCAATAGCAGCTACAGGAATTGTAGACAATTAAATTTTTAAGGATATGGTAGATTGCATTATTGTTCAAAAATATCTGCTACCCCACTCTGGGGAAGGATTATACTTCTCCATTCCCATGTTTATCAGACTTGATTATGTATGTGACTTGCTCTGACTGATGAAATTTGATCACTAACATGTGCATCACTTTCCAGCATAAATTTGAAGAACAAGCTGATTGGATGTCATCTTTTTCTGTCATTATACTGGCAATGATCCAAATAAAGGCTGCTCCTGGAGTAAAGTAGAGCCCAACCACAGCAAATCACAGACATCAAGTGTGACAAACGTTTCTAGTAACAAAGATTTTAGCATAACTCTCCCTACTCTGATATTGAAAAGATTATAAGAAAAGCCCTTCCTATCCATAGCCACCCTATCATTTAAACAATGAACCAAAGAAATAACACTTTCAGAGGTTGTTTGGGAAAGGTTGTTCAAAAAAGGTCTGAGCATAAAAGGCTTAACTTTAGCCGGCACCTGCACTATAAGCAAATTGCCCTGGGATGATGTATTGTAAAACAGCCTGGAAATCTATTGCACTTCTCTACTTAGTGTCTTTCCTATAGATCTAGGTCAAACTGCAAAGACAAATCAGATAGTGACATTCTTCACAAGCTAATTAGCATGTCACTGTCACCCCAATACCTCTTGGGATGAGTTGAGACTGTTTCTAATAATCATGCTACCAAAGTACAGCCAGTAGACCAGCAGCATCGGCATCACTCCAGACCTTCCCACTCCACTGCCCTCCAGCTTAGCCATTCCACTTGCTGTGGTCAGTTACATTAAGAAGTGACATTTGTGAGTAACATTAGCCAGCACATGACCACCATCTTCTCTGCCAAGAAGCTGGAGCATCCCAGTTGGCAGTTGCCCTGTTAGTGTGGGACCGGGAGGGAAGATGTAGCAGAGCCCAACCTGACCCACAAATCCGGAAAAGTGCAATTAGTTTTTGTAATTTTGTTAACCATTGAGACTTCAGGGGCCTTGTTACTGTAGCAGTGTACTTTAACAGGACTGATACATATCCTTTGGATAAAATAATACAAAGTAAACATACACAGATACTTTTTACACAGAACTTCTTTGGTACAGTAAACTAAGAGTAACTTTTATATATAGCTGTATAGTACTTGCAAATGGTACTTGCAAATTGCTATGAAAATTTTAAATGAATTGTTACAAGTAGAAACTAAGTTTTCTTCAGTTGGCCTTGCAGATTATATAATCGTTTCAATTGTGAACTGTGTTTTTTAAAGTTGTATCTGCTTCAAGATGATTGTTAAAGCAAGTTTTTTTAGAAGTAGCCTTATGTTGAGGGAGTTTTCTGAGGTGATGGAACTCTTCAGTATCCTGATGATGGTGGCACATACATGTTACATGTTAAAATTCTTAAAATTACGGGCTGGCCCCGTGGCACACTTGGGAGAGTGCAGCGCTGGGAGCACAGCGATGCTCCCGCCGCGGGTTCGGATCCTATATAGGAGTGGCTGGTGTGCTCACTGGCTGAGCGCGGTGCGGGTGACACCAAGCCAAGGGTTGCGATTCCCTTACCGGTCACGAAAAAGACAAAAAAAAAAAAAAAAAAAAAAAATTTCTTAAAATTACATTCAATTTTACTGTATATTAAAAACACACACACACACACACACACACAAAGTAGCCCTATTCATTTATAGTGTTATCACTCAAGGAAGAGAAAGTGATCCAACAGACATTCCTACTATACTTTTTTCTAGACCCCTTATAGAATATCCTACAAAGAAGGTATTTGGATATTAACTACTTTCACTTTTTTGCAGCTCTAAATCTCAGGTTACACCTACAAAATGGAGCTACTAGTCCCTACACTTCATAAATTGAGGATTAAATGAGATAAAACTAAGTGAGAGAATAGTCATAAGGCACTTAATATATGCTTACAATTAAGATGGACAGTATCAAGAGAAAAAGCCCTTTGCTTACCCACTAAGGAATACTCTACTTTCATCTTATGTTTATTACCACTACATAAACCATGGAAGACCTAAGGACTGCTGGATAAAAAAGCTTTCAAACACGAGGACTTTAATATCTTTGCTACACTATACTGTGATTTTAAATCTTGAATCAAAATCCATCAAAGTTTATCAGCCATATTACATGCCATAATTAGCTTTTTATAAACAACTTTGCTTACATATCAGTGTCAATGAAATAAAAAATAAAACGGTATACTAGGCAAAGAACTTTATTAACCTTTGTTTCAAACTTTATTCCCAGGCTTCTTCAGCTTAATTAGCTGCAAAGAATGAATTGTGTATAAGCAAAAACTGAAAAGAGCTGCAGTGTCCAAAGGGCTTGGGTTTAAAAATATTAGAGATCTAGATTTTATTAGATCCTTAAACAAAACAATTTTAAAAAGCAGTCATAATATAAAATAGCAGCTCCCAGAAACTTCTTCAAGTTTTATCTTCTTCAGAAGTTCATCCAATTCAGTTTGCCTCATTCTTGGAAGCCTCATCAAAATTCTCCACAAGATCTAGAAAAAGAAAAAAAAAGTAGAAATTCTGAAAAAAAGCCAAATTTGCAAATAATGATCAGATCTTATGAGGAGAAAAGGAAACGTTCTCAAAATATATCCTACAATTAAATAAGGATTACATTTAAACACTTTGCTTTATTTCCAATGAGACCACTATTCACCTGGCCCATCTAGAAGTTCATGTTAAGGGATATAATTATACAAGAAAAAGCCATTCATTTGCCAACGATGTAAATACTGTGTGTAAAGAATATGTACATATCCTTCCCATTCCCATCCCACAAGAATTAAAATTAAACAATGTAATACATTGATCAATGTGCGAGAGCAGAACCAAAGAATACCATGACACAAGACTCTGGAGTTTTCCTGGGTTCCTAAGGACATCTGTCTGAGCAAAGGGGAATACTTATGAGTCTAGTGATTCTCTCATCCAATAAATATTTGTTTTACAACAAAGTAAATTATCCAAAAATAGAGATAATAAGAGAAAATGCCTCATGACTGCCAAAGGAGTTATTTTGCTACAGATTTTAGAATGGTTTTATCCCAAAATACTCAAACAACTTCTCCATACCATCTCATAATTCATGGATTTTAAATTAGGAAACAAGGGTCGTTGGTGATCTATAGGTAGTTATATTTAGGTCACAATATACACACTTTTTATTCAATATGTAATTTAAAGTTAGCTACCCTAGACGTCCTTGGGATCCCAAACAAAAAGAAGGCAAATCTATAAACATAACTCCCAGTTAAATAACACTGCATTATTTTTCTCATTCTAAGTGAGGTCCATGGCCCCCTTTCCCCCCTTTTACTTATTGCCACCCACCCAAGGTGGTTTTTCCTGCAGTGTAAAAATTCTTTATTCTCCCCTGCTAAGATTCTCTAGGTTAACGACAAGAGAAGGTTCTTACCTGGAACTTCATCATCATCCTCCTCTCCAGTAGCAAGTGGTGCTTTTCCATCCACAGCTATAAAAGGGAAATGTAGATGTTACTCATATATAGGCCTAAGTTTTCAATAAACATTAACCAAAAGAGCAGATGAAACTCAAGTGTTGTTACAACTTACATTTATGATGACAAGTAACACTTGGGATATCATCTATAGTACTATTAATATAACATGATATTCTGATGTCTACAAATGGCCTAGAATACTAGTAGCAGCCAACAAACCAAATTCCATACCTATCTTTTCTTTTCTTTCTTTTTTTTATAGAAGATGACTGGTAAGGGGATCTTAACCCTTGACTTG